AATCGGATCAACTGTGAGCAAGACGCCGCTGACTACGCGGAGCGCGAATATCCAATATCCAACTTCAAACTAATTTCACCTCGGTCAACCAGCAGCAGCAGGAAGAAGTAACGGAAACAGCTACTCTGTGATCTTACCTCCACATGCGACGTGACAGAAGAGCAGCAAAGCAAATAATTTCTTCATCTTTTTTTTTTTTGGTTGTTGAAGTCCTGGAGCTTTCGGTCAGGTAGTTAGAAACAGATACTAAAAGTGGGGCGTGTTGTGATACAGTGTGTGGTCCTTCAGTAGCCACAATGAGCCTCCTCTAAAGGAATGTAACCACACCGGTCCGATGTCATGTCTTCTGAACAATTACTTCCTCCTCAGTCTATGAAAGAAATACGAAAACAGACAAAAACTCAAAACATTTCAAATACACATTGTTGAATTATGTATTATCGTTACATTTCCCTAAAAAAAAAATCTAATCTACATTCAATATACATTGTTCAGTTATTTATTGTTAAATTTATATTATTATAATTATTATTAATAACAATAACAATAATAATAATAAGAAGAAGAAGAGCCTCTAATTGGACGGACTAGTCTCTCAAGCTAGTTTCGATAGGTCCAAATATGCTAGCCTGCAATAGCAACGCCTTAAATCTTTCACACAAAAGCACAACAAATATGAAACAAACAAAAGTTGAAAGTTACAAATACGGTGTGCGCCTCTCGGACGGTGCAGAGTAGTTATTTTTGCACTGTTTGGTTTTCCTATGTAGCAATGTTGGCGTTTTCCCTCTAAAGCCGAACTGCACCTGGCCCATCAGGTGTGAGCCTGGCCCATCAGGGAGGAACCAAGCGGCGGAGGTCCAGAATGCTTGGTGGTCACGTGATGACCACCGAGTTAGTTCCTGGAAGTACTTGGAGGGCAATTTGAATATGTAAATACGGAGAGTCCAATCTGAGATTATTAGTGCCCTCGGTCGGGCGAACAGGACTACGGCCCTGACGTGAGGAGGAATATGGCGGCGGCAGCGGCTGGTAGAGGAAGAGGACGAAAATATGCGGGAAATTCAAATTTCAGCTCTCCTACACCTCCTGTTTTGAGGCCGGAGGGGAACGAATATGTGAGTTGGTCAGAGATAGGCAGTTGGGGGGATTCTGAGTCTGATATGGAGGATGTCGTAGTAACTGAGTTGCATTCAGGACAGGGTAAAGACAACAAGCTGGTGTGCAACAAAAAAAGAGCGAAATGACAGCGGTAGCAGTGAAATGTCTGAAACCTTAACTCGAGGGGGGCAGACAGTTAAAAGCTGGATTGTTATCCTAAGATTTAATGAAAGGACACAGATGAACGTCAAAAAAGCTCGTCCATTTATTTTGATGACTGAATTGGGGAACAAATTGGGAGATATTATTTCTGCGAAAGTGTTGAATGATGGAAATCTGCTTGTGCATTGTGAAAACGAAGAACAGCTCAAGACAGCATTAAATATGAAAGAGTTAGGGAAGNGCGTTTACAAATGAAAGGGGGCCATCGAGATGTTAATTTCAAGCCATGCAGCCTTTTGGCTGTCCTCTGGGCATGGTAGCAGGGTAGTAAAACTCTGGGTTTTCTAGTGTTAATAACAATTATCATCATCGTTATCATTGTTGTTTTGTGTCTTTTTGTGGATATTTGCGCTCCTTCAACATAACTTTTCCCATTTTGATTATCTAGGGCCTAATTTTCATAGTTACACAGCCCGGTATAGCGGTCTATAGTGTTGAAAGGGTTAAACAAAGTATATTGTGATAACAATATGGTATGGTAAGCCTTTTTTAACCCCATTGTGGGGAAATTTGCATCGTTTCAGCAGCAAAGTGGATAGTGCAAACATGTAAACAATATCAGTAAAAAATAACAAAAAACAAACAAAATATACATAAGTACCAGCTCAGGTTGTCCAAAGTCCTCTGGATGTGGACATAACCAGATTGCACATGTAAATGATATTGCACAGATGGTTTCAAGAGAAGAACTGCTGAAAGAGAAGTGTTAATATGACACAGATTTTATTTATATTGTACGGATTTAAGTGGAAAAATGCTGACATTGCACAGACTCTTTTATATGAAGAAAAACTGATGTTGTAGTTTTTAAATAGACAGAATATTCATAATTGACAGCTTTTAATGTGTTGATAATGCACCAAAATGAAGTAGGACAGTTTTTCAGTGTGCAGTCAGTCAGATGATGATTGTGGTGATGTTTGCAGCCATGTCAGCCGGCCCTAATAGTAAACCAGTGAAATCAGACTCCCTCTCTGTGTCCCAGGTGCCCACATCCTGCAGAGAGGAAAACCAATCTGATGGAGGTTTATCTATCTTTATATCAATGTATATTGTAGGTATTAAGAAATTTCTTTCGGGATTAATTACATTCCATTTTATATATAATGAGGACAATAGAGGGATTTCTTAGATAGGAATTTAATTTATTTATATTCTTTTTTCCAAATACTGTGAGCCAATGTTACAAAATTTTGTTCAGTGTACGCCTGTGTATCTTAAATGACAATAAAGTTGTCTCCGAGTCTAATAAATTAAACATCTGACCAAATCTAAATATGGTCACAATGCCACCTTCTATTCCTGAGTTAAATATGAGCCAGAAAAGTGTGTTTGCAGAGCATTATGATGTCATAGTGAATATAACCTTTCAGATGTAAAACATCACCCCTTCATCATTGTATCCTCCTAGTCATTTGTGTAAAATTGTCATAATTAGTCCAGGAACCCTTGAATCAAATTTTTTATTTTATTTTTTTTATCGTCAGAGGTCACAGTGACCTTTGACCGCTAAAATCTAAAAAGTTCATTGTGAGTCCAACTTCTGTCGCTGGTGCAGAGGCATAAAGATTTTATCTGGCACAGTGCAGATCTTATGGCCTCAAAGTTTTCCTTCCTTTCAGATGAAATGTATGCTTGCATGGGACTTTGTGTTCCATGCCACATCAGGAGTGTGGCTACAGTTTTCACCCCTTCCTCCGTTTGTCACAAAAAAATAACGTAACAATTATAAAAAATACATTTAAAAAAGAGGCTGGGATGACAGGCTGCAAGGTGGCACAGTTGGTAGCACTGTTGCCTCGCAGCAAGAAGGTTGCTGGTTCGCGTCCCGGTGGAGTTTGCATGTTCTCCCCATGCAGCGTGGGTTCTCTCCGGGTTCTCCGACTTCCTCCCACAAGGTCCAAAAACATGTTGAGATTAATTGGTGATTCTAAATTGTCCATGAATGTGAATGTGAATGTGCTTGGTTGTCTGTCTCTAAGTGTAGCCCTGTGATAGACTGGTGACCTGTCCAGGGTGTCTCCTGCCTTCACCCTGAGTCAGCTGGGATAGACTCCAGCCCCCCGTGACCCGAGTGAGGATTAAGCGGTGTATAGACAATGGATGGATGACTGGAGTGATGTCTTCTCTGTTCTCAGCTTTAGTCCACAGAGAGTCCAGCTCTTGTGATTGTATTTAGTGCTAAATCCTCCATTGATTTCCAGCTAATGGCTCGCTCCATTTTGACACATTATCTACAGAAAGAATGAATGATTAAACAGACCAAGTATAGTAAAATAAAAGTATAGAAAAGGGCAGTATTGGTGTGTGTGCATGCAAATAGATAAAGTAGAATAAGTTCTGCTCACCAGATGGAAGGTTGATGTGTAAATCTGTAATACAAAAGAAAAAATACAACATTTATCACAGTTGTAAATGTGACAGTGAAAACTTCTTGTAAATCTGCCCCCTCTAACTACTACACTACATAAACTTATAAACTAATCTCATCTAATATTCTATTATAATATTTCACATTGTTTTCACGTCATGTCTCCCGTACATCACGTTACAGTGCCAGTATTTACCCCATCCTGCAGCTCTGAGCATCACACTATATTCGTACAACACAGCTGGGAATTCAACTGTCCCTGAACTCGTACAACATTTTCAGACGCACCTTTCAGAAATGATGATTATTCCATACACAAAAGCTTAAATAGAATACAGTAAATCCAATCATTTTGGTCTCTCACCTTCATTGTTTATGTAAAACAGGATTCCATGTAAAACGATGAGGATGAGAGCAACAATCAGTGCAGCAATAGAGAGATATTTTAAATGATCTGTACAGAAAAAGTAGGTTAGAACAGAAACATATCTCTGCATCCATTCATTGATTCATACATATAGTGCTTAACAAATTTATTGGACCACCTAATTTGTTAAGCACTGCAGACATAACAGTCCTCAAATGTATTCATAAAGAAAAGGCAAAATTCACAATAGTCACTTAAATAACAAGAAACTGAAAAAAGTAATAATAAATAAGAATTTGCTAAATTATAATTTAGTGAAATAAGACATTGCTTTTGAATTGTGGTTGAAAAGAATAATTAAAAAACAAAAAACAAAACTGTCCTAGACAAATTAGAGCGCTTTGCTGATGAGCAGTGGGTCAGAATACCTGTCAACAGGTGCAGAAGTCTGACTGAGAGTTACAGAAAACACTTGATTGCAGTGATTGGCTCAAAGGGTTGTTCAACTAAATATTAGTTTACGGGTCCCATCATGCTTGTTTGCTTGTTTTTTGTTGTTGTTGTTTTGTTTTATATTTCTGTTGAATCACAATTCAAAAGCAATGTCATGATGTTCATAAAATTTTTATTTATTATTACTTTTGTCAATTTCAGCTTACTCCAGTGACAGCTGTTTTTTTTCTTCTTTAATGGGAGGGTATGAATACATTTGAGGACGACTGTACATCCAGTTGTATCATCCAGCATCATGAAGTGCTTTAATTCGCACTCAGCTGCGCGAAGTCAGAAATTATAGCATAATATATACATTCAACCACTAAAACAAATTTTTCTGTTCAGGAATGGAAGTAAATTACTGTAATTTGACATCTTAATCAAGAAATAATATTGTGCTTTTCTATTAATTTTTTTTGTAAAACAGCAAATTTGAAAATTCATGGATAATAATTAGATTTTAACATTAAAAATATCATTTCAGTTAAAGAGCTTCTACATACTGGTGTATTAACCATTACGGAAATGATTCTGGTAATTACCAATGCTGTAAATTTAGGGCTGCTGGGGCATAAACCTTACATGGAGCGGTGGTCTAATGAATTTGTTAAGAATTGAACATTCATCCAGTTGTTAACTCTTTATATCCAATAGTGGCTGACTGATTCTCAGATCATGACTTTTTGTTTGCTTCCATGGTCCTTTAAAGAATTATTGACTGGACATGCATCTTTTCTTCACAGCTCTGTGTTCAGTGTCTTTTTAATTTGATTTTCTGCTGCATCTGTGGACTGTTTCCTTGATTTGAATATTGGTGAATAAGTCAAGTCAGTTTATTCATAAGGACATTTAAAAATGACAGACTGGCCAAAGTGCAGTACAACTAAATAAAAAGCAAAAGAAAAACACACAAGTAAAATGCATACACATATTTCAATCATTTATGAAGTTATTTATAGTTTGTTGTTTTTCTAGATTTATAATAACTTACTATATTGTATTTATTTATTTATTTATTTTTGCTTACTTAGAACAAAGTCCTTCATACTTTTCTTGCAAAACTGCAGATAATTCAGAGTTGTCTTTTTTTTTTTTTTTTTTAACTATGTGAAAGATTGAAAAGTTTAGATCACAGAATTAGTTCTAGTAATTTCACATTACAGTAACTTACTACTTGGCGGCAGTGTCTGATAGTCATCTGAATCTGTCAAAGCAGAAACATGATGTTAGTTCACACATTCCCCACTTAAATGGAACTTTTAAAAGCTCAACATTCTGAACAAAGCAAGGTATCATAGTAATTCATAGAGATGGAGATGGATATGAGTCAAGTCAAATAACAACAGTCTTAAATCTGACAAGCAAAGACAAAAGTTCCCAGAGGGACAGTGTCATGACAGTTTATGAAATTCTCCATCTTTCCTTCTCCATGTCTCACTTAAACTGACAAATAAACCTTCTCCACCTCTTTTTCTGTTCTTATACTGTCTCTTTGACATCATTAAGCTACAGTCATGTCATTACCATATTCACAGCCTACTGTTGTCTGCCTTTAGATTGCAGTGCGCTACAAAAAAAAGCTTGTTTCACTTTAGCAAATTCAACTGGGCATCAGGTGAAATTCTAAAACCACTGTGCAGCAAACCTCAAATCTCACCTGTCAAAGTTTTGTATACGATGAATATGAGGATAACGATGAGGAAAATGGTAAAAACAAGCGCTGCAACAATGATGTGGGTGTTGGTCTCATCAGGAGTCTTACAGATGTAGTAATCTGGAATGACAGCAGATCCATCAGTGTACATGTCATGACCCCCCCAGCCTCGGCCCCAGTTTTCCCTGGTTTGTGTAGTTTCATCCTTTTGTCGTATTTGGTCTGGTTTGTCTCGTTCTGTTTTCCACTCTGTCTAGTTTGCACTTTTTGTATTAGTTTTCAGTTTTGCTTCTGTTTGATTAAATCCTTTTGCACTTAACCTGTCTGCCTGATGTGTGTCTGCACCTGGGTTCCCCGATTTTCCCCCTCGTTACAGTACAAGGTGTAGGAATGTGAAGGTATATCAAGAAGATTTCACAGTTGAACAGTTTGAAACATAAGTACACTCCAGATTAGCAAAGATGACACTCTGGAGCTAGAGTCCTGACTAAGATCAAGTGAGTGTGATTTACGAGACATCTTGCTTCAGCTAGATGAAAGTAACTGTTAAAGTAAACTAAATCCATCACTTCTGGATCCAGTCTTACCTCTGTTGGTCTTGATGGCAGTTTTGTCCAGTTTAACGATGATGCTGTTTTTGACACCAGACAGCTGAAACACACAGTCAAACCTCATCCAGTCTTCAGGTTTGACTGAAAGGTTTAGGACAACGTTCCACTGGAAGGTTCCATCATGATTGGGGAGGATCAGTCTGAGGTTTTTGTCCTCAAGAAGCTCCACTCCGTCTCTCCTCCAGGACAAGTTGGCTCTGTCGGGGTAGAAACCTGTAGCGAGGCAGCTGACCGAAGAGGAGGGAGTCTTCTGGAGGAGAGACACTGAGGGAAGATCTGGAGAGGAGGTCAGACAGAAACACAACATAATAGCTCTATGTTACAGAGAGTCGAGTTGCACCACAGTGTTATTCACTAAAAAGAATGAAACTATCATTAAACGTTAGAAATTACTGAAACAAGTGTGACTATTGGTCTCAAGGCCCCATAGTATTAGTTACAATGTGAGCTTGCTTGAGTCCTCTACATAGAAATTATTTAAACCCTATGAAAATACATCAGGTCGTGTGATTCTACCTGTTCTCTGCAGGAAGCTCCTCCCGTAGTCCAGATACTTCTTCAGCTTGTCCAAACACACTGTGGTGAGGAAGCTTTGAATGTGCTTTTTTTCATTGTCCAGATTGCGTTGGTTGACATTTGTCCACGTGCCCATCTTCTGGCTGACTGCGACAAAGTCTTCTCCATCGTAGCCAAAATGATCAAAAGTATTATTCTCTTCAGTCTCATTATCCCATTCACAGCCGTATAGCCTCTGAAAGGTGTGGACACCTGAGAGACAGAAGTACAGTCAGGTATTATGAGCTGGTCCATCAGAGGAACTTACAGTCAACGAATTAGTACATTCTATTCATTTCATTGTAACACAAACTCAGCTAAAGCCAGAAATGGAAGTCACTGGTTAAAAAAAAAAAAGCACTGTATCACACATGGATGGGGGGGACATTAATTGAGGTCTGGCAGTTCTCCCTCAGGATATTTTGAGCTTCAAACACATCATTTCCAGTATTGTGGTGATTTTTATATTAAGTAGTTTTTCCTGAATCAATTCATCCCTTTGTAAAGGAAAACACTAAATTCAGGCACCAGCTGACAAGTCACACTATAATGGACAATAATGCAGTCCGCTCTCATGCATTGCTTTTAAATATTAAACCCATTAAGATCAGTTTTTCTTATTCAGTATTATCCCTGATGAGTCTACAAACATATACGCATGATTTATTTTTTTGTCCTCCCCTCAATCCCCCCAAAGCCTACAACTACAACATTACCAATAGAGAGCAAAATAAATGATCATTTGATAGTCAGGTAAACAGCAGATACTCGGTCAGCACATAAATATCCAGCAACATTTTCCCGCTTGCATGCACAAAGTAAAAGCTTCTGTTGCAGGCCAGAGCACAGATGAACAAACCTCCAGTCTGACTGCGATGCTTCATCCGATCCTTGATGTTTTTTCTGAAGAATGTTTGTTCATCGATGCAGTGACTGTGCAAATATTTGAGCTCTGAATGTTTTTCCTTGAAGATTTTCAGCCAGTCTTGTTTTGGTTGTGGGAGGTTTTGGATGTTGCCGGCCCAGTAAACCATCTCAGTCTCATCAACATTCACAACACCCAAAAAGTCTGGGAACTTTGGCACTCCAGACGACCCGGTGAACATGAACTTCAGCGAGTGTTTTACTGCAAGAAAAAAAACATAAACGAGATTTTCAAATTGTTTGAATCACATTTTGTTTTGCTCAGGCACTACGGGCTACAAAAATAATAGTCCTGCTTTTCTCAATATTTAATGCATTTTAATACCCTGGTCATTTACATTTAAAGAAATCTTTTTCCAAAGGCCATTCATCTACTGGTCAGGAGCAGTACTTTATTTGTGTTATTATGGACCTGGGTCTTTATAACAATATGACACTGCACAAAAAATTCTAATGCATCCGAATCAATCTTGGTGCTAATCGCTGACACATCCCAGACTGTAATAATAAAGAAAAACAATGAACTTAGCATTGATTATTTTAAAAAAAGAATTAGTTTTCGTATTTTTTATTTTCCTTTCAAAGAACAGCAGCGGCATTGTGTAAAGAGAACCTGACATTTAAAGAGTAATAATATAAAAAATAATTAACATCCTATTAATATCATTACACAGGTCTACACCCATTTTGGTGTCAGTTTTTTGAGCTGATTTTGGACAATTGCAATGTGCTGAATCCAAATATTACATTGGTTTTGCTCAATGAGGTCAAAATTTTGATTTGATGAAACATGCAATTTACTTGTATTTACCTTTACAAATGTTTATGCTCATCAACTTGTGGATCATTTAGCTTATGAAAATGATTAGAAAATTACAATTTTCCTCTAAAATCCGATTTCATATGAGAAATACTAAAATAATTCAATCGCTAATGTCAAAAAATGTAATTGATTTAGTGGTAAAATCGATTTTTTTCAATCGAGTTGGCATGAAAACCTGAAAAGCAGATGTCATTTTTGGATTCAGCATTGCAAAAATGTTCTAAATCAGTTTAAAAAATCCTAGACACCTTCAAAGAAGTATTTTTTGTAACCCAGTGTTATGAAATGAAAAGGGAGCTGTTACAAATTGCTGCCACCTAGCGGCGCATTCCATTCCATTACTAGCAATATCAATATGTCATTTTTGTCTAGACATCAGTGTATCTCATCACACGGACAGTATTCACTTTTTGGCAGATGATCACCAACAGAAAGTGTCTGATAACACAAAATGACGGATGCAAAATAACGAATCACAGTGCAAAAAAATTGCCTCGGAATCCGGCGAGCTCTTAAAATTTGTCTAACAGCATTATGATTCTGCTGACTAACTCTAGTAACTTTCGCAGTATAACAATAAAATTAGTGTTTTTTTTTTTGTAGATTAAGTTAATATAGTTTTAGGAGGTTGTTTTTTTTTCTTCATTTTTTTAAAAATGAAAGTGAAACTATAGCTACTTTCTGTTAATGCTGTTAAGAGACAGTAGAGACGAAATCAGATCTTACCTGGAAATGCTACGTGGCAAAAGAGAGTAAAAACAGCGATAAACGACTTCATCATCTTGTTTTATTGATAAACTACAGCTGAACGCTGAGTTTCGACCTGAGTGAGTTATTCGCTGATCGTACGTGATGCATTTTAGGGGGACGTTCGTACTGAACCCTCGGTGATCTGGGTTTAAACAAAAGCTGAAGTCTGTTTTCTGATGGTATCATCATTCAAACTGCTTGTCATTGTAATATGGAACAAGATATTCCTTTTTGATACTCACCGTTTCTCCCAGAATTAAACAGTGAGCGGTGCACACCCCCCTCTGGCCAGGCTACATGGTTCATTCCATCACATGTCGCAGACTTCAGTTGATCAAACGTCATTAAACATTTCCATGTTCCTGTATTGTATTTGTCTGTGTTTTACACAGACTGTCTATGGTGTTTTATGATGTTTAAGTGTTTACTGACAGTTGATGTAATGTGTTAAACATGTTTTTCCTCCATCTGTACACATCTGGCTGTTTTAACTGTTAACTTTACAACCTCTAAGTGAACCAAACAGAGAAACTGGCACAGTTCAGTCATTTTTAAAACAAAGTGTACAATATCAGTTTTTTCTTTTTTCTCCATATTTCACATTTGGGGATTTTTTTTCTGTGCATCTGAATATCTACACATGAAAGAATCAGTACTTCTGTATTTTTTTTTATTTTTTTGGTAGTTTCTCTTTTCTAGTGATTTTCCCTACAGTTTGCACTTTCCCCTTTGCTGCTGTAACACTGCAAATTTTCCCCACTGTGCAATGAATAAAGTCTTATCCTAATATTTAGTGCATTAGAGAGTACGACGACCTGATTATCTGCCAACAAAAACAAAAAATAATCTGCCTGACAATCACATGTTAACATTACAATATTTCAAAATTGAAATCTCCTCATCAGAGTGCTCTGGCCAATATTTAAAAAGTCTACTCTCTGCCTCCATGAATTGAAAGTTTGTGTTGATTAAATCATAACTTAGCCTGGTGTTTAGTTTGACCCAAAAGCTGGACACAGAAAACCAAAGTCAAAAGTCTTTATTCAGTGAGCCAAAGGTATCACACAGATGATCAGTCTGTGTGGCAACAAATCCAACTAAGGAAGCAGGCAAAAGGCAAAAACCAGGAAAAACCAACATTTAATATGCAGGCA